TCATTAGTTAAAACCTTTCGAATACGTAGATGACATATTTCTTTACAATTAGGCGTTTATTTTACTTAAATCCGTACAGTTTTTTTGTAACAGGTTCCTTTAAAGTTTATGTAAAGGTTCTTGAACAGTTTTAGTGTTAAAAAATTTACAACCAAAAATAGATTCCGACCTACAAATAATTCGGAATGTCCCTTTGCTATGTATTTTGGTTGTTGTTCAGAAATTAATTTATCACACAACAGGACTGTTCTAGGGCTCGTAACACAGGTTCATAGAAATAATATGAACTCGTAACCCATGCAAATTAGACCATATATTCGTGTACCAAGTAAACAAAACATCATGACATCCTTTGATGTTTCAGTTAAAATTGAAGGTAAAGGACACAAAATTGTTCCAAATAACATAACTTTTACTATATGTCACAATTTGGTTAGCACGTTAACTTGTTTTACCAATAACTTATTTGTTACGCGCAAGGTCATTTGCAAAAATGTCAGTGTAAAAAATGCTGACCCGAAAATGAAGGCCGTATATAGAAACAGATTATTGGTGGTACTGTGATAAATAGAATCTTTCACTTGTGCTTATTTCTTATGAAACTTATGAAATTCATTTCATATATTTCATATGAAATAAGCACTCGTTTAAAGATGGGTTTCCTTATTTTTTTAGGGTCAAATTTAGCAAACTGGTTGATTGGTGTTTCTAATGAATTATCGTGTATTCTTAATCATATCATTATGTTCTTATTGTATATAATTAAGAGTTTTAATCAATCATAAATATCCATGTATGTACAGTCGGGATAAATAAAAAAAAAAACTTTTTGACATGTCTTGATCGGTTACTAATTTGAATGGCAATTCTTTTTTTGATTTAGCTGATTATGAATTGATTATGAACATTTTTCCTAGGTATTAGAACACCTTGACTTTCTATTCATATTCATATAAGTATCAGCATTATCATTTTCATAAATGAAAATAAGGGAACCCATCTTCAAGATCCACTATGTACTAATTATAGCAAAATAAATGAATACTAAATTGTAAAGAAATATTCCTCCTACTTATTCTGAAGATCAAGCACCAAACTAGATCCAACTCTTAATTGAAATTAGTACAATCCGGTTTTCATCACATCTTTCAAAAATGAAATGAAATGAATGGAGTTTTATGTAATACTTTTCATCACACCTTTTAAAACAAATGGTTGCCTAGTAAGATACGCCCAATTCCCTATGATATTTATCAAGTGTCGAGATATGGTATGGGGTTTAATGTATCTTGATAAATGTCAGATTAAAAAAATCAGTAAATCTAATAGCTTTCGGGGGTTATGTGGATTATGCTATATGATGACCCTCATGATTCATTGTGCATGTTGGTCCGTCTACCAACCAACCAACAATCCCTGAGAGGTACACTGACATTCCCCGTTTATTAGTAGATTAATGCGAAATCATTATTTAACACCTGCATATGAATAAAATTAGAAAAATACAAAACCATAAGCTACGGAAAAGTTCCAAAATACTGCAGTTATTTATCAATATGAAATCGATATAATATAATGTTATAGAAACCCATTTCTATCTGGATTATCGTGAATTAAAAATAGGTTGAACTTAATCGTAAGTTAGTGGATCAATAATAACATGAAATGGCAAAGGAATATTTAAATATGAAATTAAGGGAATGATATATTTTTCTCTCAAGGTATTGTGTTCATGAGGAAATGGTATTCATTTTCAACCAAGGATAAATCATATTGCTGACAGATATGATCATTAACAGTACCATTAAGAAGAGTGTAATAGTGTAACATTTGGAAGTTGTTTTGGAAGAGTGGAATAGTACAAGATTTGGAAGTTGTTTTATAAGAGTGGAATAGTGTAACATTTGGAAGATGTTTTAGAAGTGTGTAATAGTGTGGGGTTTGCAAGTTGTTTTAGAAGAGTGGTATAGTATAAGATTTGGAAGTTGTTTTAGAAGAGTGAAATAGTGTAGCATTTGGAAGTTAATTTACAAGGGTGGGATGAAGTAGGGTTTGCAAGTTGTTTTAGAAGAGTTTAATATTGTGGGGTTTAGAAGTTGTTTTGGAAGAGTGGAATTGTATCAGATTTGAAAGTTGTTTTAGAAGAGAGAAATAGTTTAGGATTTGAAAGTTATTTTGGAAGAGTGGATTTTTTTAAGATTTGGAAGTTGTTTTAGAAGAGAGAAATAGTTTAGGATTTGAAAGTTGTTTTGGAAGAGTGGAATTTTTTAAGATTTGGAAGTTGTTTTATAAGAGTGGAATAGTGCAACATTTGGAAGTTAATTTACAAGGGTGGGATGAAGTAGGGTTTGCAAGTTGTTTTAGAAGAGTTTAATATTGTGGGGTTTAGAAGTTGTTTTGGAAGAGTGGAATAGTACAAGATTTGAAAGTTGTTTTAGAAGAGTGGAATAGTGTAACATTTGGAAGATGTTTTAGAAGTGTGTAAAAGTGTGGGGTTTAGAAGTTGTTTTAGAAGAGTGCAATAGTGTAGGATTTGAAAGTTCTTTTAGAAGAGTGGAATAGTGTAGGGTTTAGTAGTTGTTTTAGAACGGTGGAATAGTGTAGGATTTGGAAGTTGTTTAGAAGAGTGCAATAACTTAGTATTTTATGGAAAAGGTGGAGGGCCGTTTCCCGTGAGCGAGTGACTGATGTTCGCGCGTTGTCCGGTTCAGAGAGGCCGAGAATTGACGACCTCGGCTCGAAAGTGGACACTTTCGCTTAGCTGCCGTTCTTCCATTGTTCTTTGCGTGAGAGTGGCCGAATGTAGGCGTATGGTGACGCAGGGAGCCGCAGGATATTTTGGCACACGCCAGCACAAAGGTCGGCTACCTGCGGTGGTGATCGGGCACTTGCGGGCACAGGCGAGATGACCGTCTGAGGATCTTGCGAGGGTCGGTTGCTTATATGCTTCCTATTCTGGAAAATATGTTAGGAGGGGGTTAGCAAATATTCAACTTTCGGAAGGCCAAATCTGGCATAACGATAAGGTCAGTTTGAAGATTGTTCCAACATCAAAATCAATGGGAAATGAAGTAAAACGGATTTGAATGAAATTCCGAAAATTGCATATGTCGATAGAAAGTTTTTTTCATGAAAAACTTGCGAGTTAATCGTAGCACTTTAATTATGTTGAAGATAAGGAAGGATTAATGTTCTTTTTTTCTCTGTTTGAGACACTTCAAATAAGTGCAATGGTCAAGTTTCAGCTTTCAAAGTCCAAGAGTGACTAATTTAGAACATTTTAGCAAACACCTTTTCTGACTTGTGAAAAATCTGTCATAACAAGAACAAAAGACAACTTCCAGTAGTCTCACAAAGCCCCAGCTTTCAAAGGACTTTGGGCATCGTAATGGCTAGATTAATCATTGTTTTCTATATGAGGGCTTTCACTGGCATTTTAGTCTGTTACTAGCTCTTATATAATATTGGCCTTTTAAAGCCGAATTGTGGCCTTTCCCAGCGCTACTATCGTTTTAATGTACACCTGAACAATTAAAAATCTCTGTATTCTATGGTTTCTCTAAAAAGGTTGTTATAAATTTGTTATCTTATGTCCAATACCAAAAGTTGTGTAAGTAGCTTACTAGAAAGAAAATGAAAAATTTTTGCATACTGCCCCTATAACCTGTAGTAAATTAGTAAGGGTTTTCCTGGAAAACACTGTCAAAAACCTGCAGTCGTGAACAGAATCCTCCATGCCCTTTTTCAGGATATCGTCATATCTTTCATTTCTTCCTTCTGAGTCATCATGTAAATTTTTAATCGATCTTATTTGATGAACCAATTATATTAATTCTCATCAACAAATTAAAAAACTTTGAAATGTTGGCTTTATGCATACGATCCAAACAAGCAATGGCGCAGGTTTAATGTTTGGCGAGCGGAATTTGATCTACAATGACTGGTAGCAACTAGTTGTATACCAATAGCTGGATTTACACCCAAGTTGCCAATTTAGAGTCCAAATAAATGTCAACGGTGACGGTTCTGATGAGATTGGTCATGTAAAAAGTTCATTCGCTTCCAGTATTTTGCCATTATGTTGTTTGGATTCCACGTTTCGTTTTTCGGTTCGGATCGTTAGTTTTTGGATTATTGGTTGCTTAGAATCGCCAGTCGATCATAATATTAATATGCCTATAAATTGGTTAATATTATTATTATATTTATATATTTTAGTAAATGGTAAAGATCAACATACGTTAAGGAGATACGCGTTTCTAGCACTACAAGAGAGTAAAAAACGACAATGGAACTGGGACAGAAAAAATATATATTAATCCAATATTTCGTAAGTTGAAAATAAATTTTAGAACTAAGAATAGCAAATTTGTGAATTTGAGTTTTTATTTTATACTTCTGAGAGTGTCGTAGGATTTTTTTAAGAAAGTTTGATATTTTACATGTGACCATTATTAAACTATCTCGATGTTGTCTTTGTAGCAAGTAATGGTCATTACGGTTCTATTAAGACAAAACGTTAAATCGTGTAACACGTCCTGTTCTAGCTACAGTGGTGACCATGAGTTTATAGGATCAAGGTGACCAGGGGATGGTAAGATATGGTAAGCCCTGATGGAAGAGGACATAAGCCAGGAGATTAAGCCATGATTATGGTCTAGTTACTGTCGACCAGGACATAAGAAGTCGTGGCAACATAAATAGTATCTAAGTGACAGGGGATGTAGGTACAGCTATGTCAAGCTATTACAAACTTCGTTTTAATCTATTTAAGAAAGATTAAAGTCAAAAGGATCATCAAAATCCACGAAGAAAGGACCCAGAAAGAAACTAGGTTGATAAAAGACTCGTAGAATAGCTTATTTTGTTGGTAAAATATGCCCGACACTATGCCTTTTTTATTTTAGAAAACTCACAAAGTAAAACCTGTCATCGCAACAACACTGGCTTTAGTAATAATTATTTCTATCAAAACCGATTTCTTAACCATAAACACACACATGTTTTCGTCTCTCATTGAGTCTGTGTCCTTTAATGAAAAACAACATTGTCCAAATGTTCTGGGACATATGATGGAAGGTGTTTGGAGACAAAAGGCAATGAGTTTGAAGGAAACCAATGATATAGAATTGTTCTGGGATGATTCGAGAAAGCAACATGGATTAAATGTAACATTGCAGAGAAACGATTCAAAATGTGGTAATGTGTCCTTCCCTCACAAAACAGGTTCGAAAATGCAATGGTTTCGTGGTTTGTGTGACAGGAAAGGAAATACGCCGTGTTGCTTTAATAACCAATGTGTAAATAGATCTCCAGACCAATGTCGATGTAAGGATTGTTATGATATGAGACAACAAATACACGCAGAGTACTCCGACTTCATCTCTAAAGACCAACGATGTCAAATAAAACAATTTAATTATATTGAGGCTTGTGATCTACTTACTAATGCAACACTAGCCTTTGTCGGCGATTCATACGTACGCCATATTTTCACCGCTGTTTTACTGTTACTGAGAAATAATTATGTGGACGGAGCTTTGAGCCAAAATGTGAAAAAAGGTTAGTTTATTTTCCTTTATAACAATGGACTACGACCACAACGATGTTACGGCGACTTCATACTTATGCGACCATATTGTGCTCCCACTTCAGTCTTAAGGAAATCTAATGGCGCTCCTACCACCCTCTATCAGTGTTACTAGCAATCCTGAAAAGAGGATCATTTTTATTATACGCCCACGTGAAATGTGGGGCGTATATTGCCGTCACCCGTGTCCGTCGGTCGGTCCGTTGGTCCGTCCACAATTGCTTGTAAACACTCTACACGTCACAATTCTTTAAGGATTTTGACGAAACTTGCTGAAATTGTTTATTATCACCCAAGAATGAACCCTATTGAAAATCAATAAAATCGAAAAATATTTATTATGAATTATTGCCTTTGTTCTTTAAAACGCGTTCGATTTTTAGCTCGTTAACATTCTACAAGTCACTATTCTTTACGGATTTTGACGAAACTTGCTGAAATTGTTTATTATCATCCAAGGATGAACCCTATTGAAAATCAATAAAATCGAAAATTATTTAATATGAATTATTGCCCTTGTTCTTTAAAACGCGTTCGATTTTTAGCTCGTTAACACTCTAGAAGGGATAATTCTTGATGGATTTTAACGAAACTTGGCATGAGTGTTCGTAATCACCCAAGGATGAACCCTATTTAAAATCAGATGAATCGAAAAATATTAAGTATGAGTTATTGCCCTTGTTCTTAAAAACGCGTTCAATTTTTAGCTCATAAAAACTCTAGAAGGCACAATTCTTGATGGATTTTGACGAAACTTTGTGTTAGTGTTCGTAATCACCCAAGGATGAACCCTATTACAAATCAGAAAAATTGAAAAATATTTCGTATGAGTTACTGCCCTTGTTCTTGAAAACGCGTTAATTTTTAGCTTGTAAACACTCTAGAAGGGACAATTCTTGACGGATTTTGACGAAACTTGGCATGAGTGTTTGTTACCACCCAAGGATAAACCCTTATGAAAATCATAAAAATCGAAAAAATATTTAGTATGAATTATTGCCTTTGTTGTTGAAAACGCTTTCAAATTTAGCTCTTAAACACTATAAGGCATGATTCTTGCTGGATTTTGACAAAACTTGGTAAAAAACACTCTACAAATCTCATTTCTTTACGGATATTGACAAAACTTGCTGAAATCTTTTATTATCACCCAAGGATGAACCCTATTGAAAATCGATAAAATCGAAAAATATTTAATATGAGTTATTGCCCTTGTTCTTGAAACGCTCGTAAACACTTTAGAAGGTGCAATTCATGACGGATTTTGATGAAACTTGGTGTGAGTGTTTGTTATCACCCAAGGATGAACCCTATTTAAAATAAGATAGAACGAAAAATAATTATTGCCCTTGTTCTTGAAAACGCGTTCAATTTTTAGCTTGTAAACACTCTAGAAGGCACAATTCTTGACAGATTTTATTGAAACTTGGCTTGAGTGTTTGTTATCACCCAAGGATAAAGCCTTATTGAAAATCAGAAAGATTGAAAAATATTTAGTATGAGTTATTGCCCTTGTTCTTGAAAATGGTTCAATTTGTAGCTCGTAGAAACTGTAGAAGGCATGATTCTCGCGCTGAAGATTGAATATTTGTCTTCTAGAGTTTTCACGAGCTAAAGATTGAACCCGTTTTCAAGAACAAGGGCAGTAACTCATACTCAATATTATTCAGTATCGCCCTAAAGAGTTCAAATGAAGTGTATAACTGAAGGTTGAATATTTCATACTGGTGATTGTTACTGTACTGCTAAATATTTTTATTCAAAATCAAAGCTGCCAATGGGCGTATATTACCTTGCCTGGCAAGCTATCTTATCATATCGCTTGGGAAAAGCATGATATTCAAAGGATTGCGTTACCAATCTTGTAAACTGCACCATATCGTATTAATAACTCGGTGGAAACCCAACGCGTCCAGAACTGGGCCAGGAACAGGACCGAACCATGGCATTTGTTTTGGCTATCATTGGTGAAAATGTTGACTACAACACGATGTCAGTTTACCGAAATTTTGATGCTAGTCAAATTACCATTACATTTTATCAACATCCGATTGACTGCCACTGCTTACTAAACGACTAGAATTTTAGAATTATCTTTTTCCGCCTGTAACAAAATCTGTAAAAATTGCAATTTCAGACATCAAATTCTAAATCTAGACAAAAAAAAATTAGTTAGAAATAGACTTGCAATAACGTCAAAATTGTGAAAGAGAATACTTAAGAAACACACAAACTAATTTTACATACAATGTCCGATTCAAATTATATGCTTCACTGCGTTGAAGATTTCACCTGGGCGGGCTACACTTATTAACTCGAAAATTTTTTTTTAAAATGGTATGCAAACTATTTTTTTCCTTGTTGACAGTTGGATTTTGTTTCTTTTTATATATCTATGATCAATGTACTGGAATGTATATGTTCACTTTAAGTTTTACTACAAATAGTAAAGGGCTATTGTGGCTGCCAGCGGGTCAGGAGGAGTGGTACGATAATGCGCTGTGGATATAGTTGAACAAGAATCTGGTTTTTTAAATGTTTATATAATTAAAAGCATAAAACATAAGATGAATGAAAAGTTGAATTATTATACATCTGATAACTGTAGAAGTAGAGCGTAGAGCGTAGAGCGTAGAGCGATTAACGTATTATTAGATATTCCTGGCCCCTTTTACAATATTGATACAACAATCTGATAAAGTCTGAGAACTAACTGAAAACTGATAAGTTCAAACTGATAAAAAATGTTAATTTGAGAATTCTACATTCTGCCATGATGGTTCATTTAAAAAAAAATGGTTCTTTTTATGCATCAATTGTCACAATAAGAAACGAAAAGATAATATGATATACTAAATTTCAGGAATTAGCTTGTGTACTATTGTGAAAAAACGAAATAAGTTTAAAACGTTCAATAAATGCTAAAATGGCCATAACACACGAGCCTACTAATTGTATACAAATTACAATTTTTAACTTTAACACATTAAATACACATGGCCATTACTTGACCATAACAAAAATAAAAATCAATGTTAAAAAATTTATAACACCCATCACTTTAATTCGAGTTAATCTAAGCTTTCGTCTGCTTCTAATAAAAGACACAATTTATCAATTGGCCGTTCAAATATGTTACTCTTAGATTTAACTTTAACAATTCTAGTTAAATTATTCTTATCTTTAATAACTTCTACTACCTTTCCTAGGCACCATGAATTTCTAGATACAGAAGTATCTATTAACAAAATGTCATTAACAGAAAAATTGCGTTTAGGAAAATGCCATTTTTGTC